AAATGCCTTTGTCTTACTTAAGATCTGGATAGATCAGATTAGTAGAAAATGTAATGAATTTTCCATTAAGGCACAGATGGTAAGGATGCTTATCAAATAGCACAGGGCAGTCATTTTCATGATAAAATCCTACCAAATAATGGGCTAATACATTGCTTTCATGGTTTCAGTAGGCACAATACTTTCTGCTTGATTTTTTTTTCTTTTCATGGTAAAATATTTTCCTACTGCTTCATAAGGATATGGACTACTGAATAAAAAGGATCAAATAAGCCTACCTCTTGTCTGGAAAGATGCTGTTGAAGCGATGGTATCGTCTGTTTGTAATGCAGTCTAGTGCACAGCCAAGATGGAGCTGTGCTTCTATTGGTTGAACGCATAATGCAGCTGACAGTTTCCTCTGTGCTCATTTGCATTAAGTCCTGCCGTCCTGAGGAGCAGATCATTCATAAACTGAATAGAATCCTCTAGGGTATCAGCTGACAACCCCTTTAAAAATTTGTTTTTGTCTTTAAGCTAAATTTTCACATAGAAACAGATTGGTGATTTTTTAGTTTTTTTGTTTTTTTCCTATAAAATATCACACCCTTCTGTGAATAACTCAGTGCTAGGGCTGGAATTACAGTCTCCAGAGGCAGTTACCAAGGAAACAGCAGCCCAGGTTAAGCACGTTGGTAAAATGTTAACAGGAAATGTAGAGAAAATCTCATGAATAAGCTTAAAATTAATAAATTGTTTTTTTGTTGTTGTTTTTTTTCTCAGTATGTTCTTGAGTCTTGGCTTCTGGCATTATGGACACATAGTGCTTGTATTTGGGAGAAATTTTGAGTAAACAAAATGTTTTAGTTCTTTAAGTTATAGTAGAGTAAGTTTAGGTGGGTAGTTTTTTTTCCCTAAATTTTACCATATAGACGGCTTTTACGTTTTTTGTTGTGTCTAGTGCACCTGACTGTTCATTGATATTTTAGTTATGGTGATAAGATTTTGGCCTAATCATAGCAGAATCTAGATTCCTTTTTAATTAAAGGAGTAGCTCATTTTTAAAATTTTTTTTTTTTTTAAAATATTCTTTTTATGTGTACTGGTGTTTTGCTTGTGAGGTTGTAGAGTCCCCTAGAACTGGAGTTGCATATATTTGTGAGCTGCCATGTGGGTGCTGGGAATTTTGGAAGAACAGCCCATGCTCTTATCCTCTGGCCCATCTCACCAGCCCAAGGAGTAGCTCTTAAATGGGGGAGAGCTGGAGGTGCACACTTTAAATTTTAATCCCAGCACTTGAGAAGCAGAAGCTGGTCTAATCTGCATAGTGAGTTTTAGACTACATAATGATACCCTGTCTCCAAACAAACTCAAACAAAGAACAAAAATCCCACCAAAAATTAAACAAAAAAACCATTGGTAGACTGGGTAAATCCTTGTTGTATAGACTCAAAACAATATATAGATAAATCATTACATTAATTTCTGGGACTATATAGTAGTACATGCCCCTATTACATTGCATCAATCAGTAGATATTTGAATGTTGACTTCAGTTGGTATTGACTTAGTACTGGGGACATTGTGATAAGCAAACTATATGTGGTTCATAATTGATTATTTAGATTTTGTTTTTTTGGGGGGGTGTCAGGATTTGAGACAGGACTTCTCTGTGTAACAACTCTGGCTGTCCTGGAACTCACTTTGTAGACCAGGGTGGCCTTGAACTCACAGAGATCCACCTGCCTCTGCCTCCTGAGTGCTGTGATTACAGGTGTGTGCCACTGCCGCCCGGTTTTGGAGTTTGTTTTTAATATCCTGTAATTTCTTTTTTCAATTTTACCATTGTGTGTGTGTGTGTGTGTGTTATATATACATAGTTATACTTATAGCTTATGTATAATACATACATATATGACATAGGATAAACAATAATGCTGATTAAAATGCTGGTCTTGATGGTACAGGCCTATCATCCCAGCTACTCAGGAGTCTGGGGGTAGGGTCACAAATTTAAGGCCAGTTTAACTTAGTGAGACTGTCTAAAAGAAGGTCAAGGTAAGTGGGCCAGGGTTAAGCTCAGTGATAGACCACTTGCCTAGTGTTATTTATGGTTATTGTAGCCGGGCGTTGGTGGCACACGCCTTTAATCCCAGCACTCGGGAGGCAGAGGCAGGCGGATCTTTATGAGTTCGAGACTAGCCTAGTTTACAAGAGCTAGTTCTAGGACAGCCTCCAAAGCCACAGAGAAACTCTGACTTGAAAGAAAAAAAAAATTATGATTATTTGTGTTCTGACAAAATGGCCCAGATCAGACGGAATAATAATGTATAAAGGGTAGTAGGTAGAGCTTATATATGGCAATAGTACAGGGTTTACAGCTTGATTTAAATCTACGCCTTGTTAGAGCCCATAATTTGTATGCTTAAAAGAGGACAGGTGGATCTCTGTGAGTTCAAGGCCAGCCTGGTCTCCAGAGCGAGACTCTGACTTGAAATTCCCAGCATCTGTGTTAAAGGGTCTGGCACAGGCCTTTGTGCCTGGAATCCCAGTGCTCGGCAGGCTGGGGATTGTTGGCCAGTAGGTGAGCTCCAGATTTAATGAGAGACTGTTTGAAAAATATGATGGAGGGGCAGAAGAGATGGCTCAGCAGTTAAGAACATTAGTTGATCTTCAGAGGACCTTGGTTTGATTCCCAGCAACCACATGGAAGCTCACAACTGTCTGTAACTCTAGTTCCAGGACATCTGACGCTCTATTTTGGCCTCTGTGGCACCAGAGTATTCAAGGAGTACACAGACATACATTTAGGCAGAACAGCCATATGCATAAAACAAAATTTTAAAATAAAAATAAATGGAAGAGCAATTAAGGAAGACACCAAACTCTGGTTTACACGTGCATATGTAACTTCCCCTCCCACACAAAATAAAGACAATAAAACCTCTTAAATAGATTTTTTTGTGGGCAGGGATTAGAGACAGGGTTTCTCTGTGGCTATTGAGGCTGTCCTGTAACTAGCTCTTTGTATACTAAGCTGGTCTTGCCTCCAGAGTGCTGGGATCAAAGTCGTGCTCCACCACAGCCCAGCTTAAATAGAATTTTTTATGAAGATTAAATGTGGAAATCATGTAGTGTGATGCTCAGCAAATACAAGGTTGAATAAATGTTAGTGACTATTGTTAAAAGTGTTTTGAACATCTTGGGGGTAAATAACCATAGGTCAGTATTTCATAACTGAAATGAAGGTACTGTTATTGTTGAGACAGGGTCTTCTGTAGCCCAGGCTAGTCCTGGACTTGATATGTAGCAAAGCATAACCTTAAGATTCGGAGTACATTAGACCCTGGAGCTAGAGTTACAGGTAGTTGTGAACTGCCAGATTAGGTGTTGAGAACTGAATTCATGGCCTCTGGAAGAGCAGAAAACAGGTGTGTTTGTGTTTTATTTGTTGAGATGATATAATTATGTCATCTACCCTGTCCTGTTTCCTCCCTTTAACCCTCCCCATGTACCTCCTCTTTTGTGATCCTCCTGCCTCAACCTACCATGTTCTAAGATGATAGATGAGCCACCATCTCTGGCTTTTGAAATCATGTATGTGGAAGCATATCGGTAAGGTGTGCTTAATGTTATTGTTAGTTTTGGAAACATGGCAGATTTTAACATTCCGGTTGAGTTACTTTTCAAAATTATAAGTAATTCTAAGGGAAAACTCCAAAGGGCATTGCATTTTAGTGTCAACGGAAAGAAAACATTCAATAAAGACTTTTCACTGGCTAATTTCAAAGAAGTATTATGTTGCATCTAGAAACTTATTTTGGATCTCTGACAATTGTTATATTTGACTTGTGGTTGTGCTAATGCAGTCTTCTGTTTAAATGGTTATTACCAAGCTGATGCCAAAGATGGCTTCTCCTTCTTTTTTATTTAGCCACTGTGTGTCAGCTGTATGGGAAATTGTTATCTGACCTGATGTCTTGCTAATAGAATGTGTGCTTCAGAAATGCTTTTCTTGTGTTTATAGTGATTTTTGCAACCTCTCCATCAGTGACTCAGATGCATTTGTGATACAGTGATGGCATTAGGGTTCTATCTGTAGGGAGGTGACAAAATGGTAAACATTTTGAAACAATAATGTAAAGATTTCTGAGAGAGTAGGGGGGAAGAAAGGAGATGGAGAGGAGGACATTATTTCTTGTGTTTATAGTGTTCTCTTGTTTCATTATTGGAGGACTCTCTTAGAGGACTCTAATCAAGTTGAAGGTAGAAGTAGAATGAGATAAAGGTAATGAGATAAAAGAATGAGATAAAAAAATTGTATTTTGAGTTGGGTGTGGTCGTACAGGTCTTTAATTCTAGCTGAGGAGACTGAGGCAAGTGGTTATCTGAGTTGGAGGCTAGTGTGGTCTAGTAGTAAGGCTCGGGTTAGTCTTAGTTTGGGCTACGGATATAGCTCACTGTTAAGAGTGCTTGCCGGGCTAGAGAGGTGGCTCAGAGGTTAAGAGCACTCTTGCTCTTCCAAAGGTCCTGAGTTCAATTCCCAGACACCGCTTGGTGGCTCACAACCATCTATAATGAGATCTGGCGCCCTCCTCTGGCATGTAGGCAGAATGTATACATAATAAATAAATCTTAAAAAAAAAAAAAAAAGAGTGCTTGCCTAACCCACACAGGCCCTGAATTTGATCTATAGCAATCTCCTTCCTCAAACTATATTTTAATGCTTTTAAATAATACTTAGCCTAGGACTAGGACATGTCGTAATCTTATAATCCAGCACTTTAGAGGCTGAGGTGGAAGATGATGAGTTCGAGACTGATGTGTACTGGAGTGAGAATGATAATTTAATAAACATACATGGATTTTGTGAGTTTTTATAATATTACAGGATAGACTTCATTAGATGAAAAAATTCAAAGAAAAGTATTCTGTCAAAGTTAAAATCATTTTTATTGCTCAAGTCATAATAGTACATTATATGAAAATGTTACAGTAATCTTTTTGAATTTCCTTTCCAGATCATAGCAATGGATCGTTTAACTTGAAAGCGCTATCTGGAAGCTCTGGATATAAGTTTGGTGTTCTTGCTAAGATTGTGAATTACATGAAAGTAAGTACTTGCATAACAAAAGTCCTTTTGATTTCTTTGACAAAAAAAGGGGGGAATTAGGAGATACAGATTTTCAGGCGTTAGATATTTATATAAATATGCCAAGATTTATCAAATTACTCATTTTAGTATGTGTAGTTTATTATATGTTGATCATACTTCAAGAAACCCCTAAAATACTTAATGTTTGAGCCTTGTGCCCTCTGTTAGCTGGCATCACAGTAAAGTACTCAATTATATTTAATATAATTTACATTATAGTCAAGTGTATAACTTAAGCTTATCATTTGACTTAAAAAGAAACATGTGGCCTGGAAAAACCTGTGAGAAGATGGGTAGTATTTCAAGATAGGTCGTCCTTCATTCGTATGAGAACCAAAAACTACACTGGTGAACCAGATAATGGCGACTGATTCTCTGTGTGGAGGTTAAGAGAATTACCAAGGATCTTAGGAAATGTTGACTCAAAAGACTTAGAAGCTGGGTGTCTGGTTGTGTCTGAATTGTGTAGTTTGTGTTTGATTTCAAGTAGAAACATTTTAGTTAATATTTCTCAGTATTAGATGATAGTAAATTTTGACTGTTTGTTCACCTATTGCACTATGTGTTAAACATTTATTAACATGTACTACTGATAGTGGGATAACAAGAAAGATCCTCCTCTTGGAGCTGTCAGTCAGTAAAGGAAATTGACTGTTTTAAAGTCTACTTAGCTCTTCATTTTATTTTCCTTAATAATATACAAATATAGTTAACATTTTTCTTGTGACCACAAGGCTTCTGATTTGAGTTGCTTTGCAATTGATAAAGAGTTGATTGGGTAGGTTGATTAAGTTTGTTTTGTTTGTATGTAACAGTAATCTGCCCCTTAAGGAAATGAAAGCAATCCTCTTTTTATAGTCACTGCATCTGGAGATGCTTGTTAGTTATTGTAGGATAAAGTAGATTTGGCACCAAATCTGCTGCTGTTTTTAGATTTTCTAGATTTAAGTGCAGAGAAATGAATGTTCATAAAGCTAAGGTGATTCTAATGGAAGTTTTGTGATAAGCACAGTTTTCCAAGTTATGTGCCAAAAACCACTTGGAGCTTTATCCTTCAGGCAGCCTGATATCATTTGACACACAGTTTTATTGAAAACAAAACAATGGAAACTACTTAACTTGTCAAAGGATTTGGTGTCTGATCATTAACCATTGACTTTCTCAGCCTTTAGAAAAGAAGTCAAGAAGGCAGGAGCTAGAGCTATACGATAGAGTGCATGTGCTAAGACTCTGGCTTCTGTCCCTAGCTCTGCAAGACTAGGAGAATCACAAGTTTCAAGGCCAGTGCCTACGGCAGTCAGAGGACAACTGGGAGAAGTTGGTTTTCTCCTTCTACACTGGATTCTGGAGATCAAACTCATGTCATAGGGTTTTGGCATCAGGTGCCTTTACCCACTGAGCCATCAGTGGCCCGCCCCCCTTTAAAAACAAAACAAAACAAAAACAACACATGGCCTTATAATGTAGCTCTGGTTAGCCTGGAACTCAGAGATCTGCCTGCCCCTGGGATTGAAATACATGCCACTTAATGGGTTTTATATAGCATAATTAGAACAGCTTCGTAGTCCTGGAGAATATTTTTGTTACCTTGAAGGAAATGGCCCCCAATTGATATTATACGGTTTTAGCTCTTTAAGTATGCATTTTTAATTTTTTTCTAAACTAATAGTAAAAGGATGAACATGGGAATCCTGAAGAGTAATTTTTTTTTTTTTTTTTTTTTTTTTTTTTTTTTTTTTTTTTTTGCCAGTGTTCTCTTTGCTTTCATGACACTCTTCTGAGAACAGTGTGCTAGTGGGTAATACTGAATGGAATTCAGGTGTGTTAGGACTGGAAGAGGAGAAATTGTTTAAAAGGGAAACTAAACTGGTCAGTTGTACAAATTATATCAGAATTTGGAATGTTCTAGGTGGGGCCAGCATATTCTCCTAAGGGTCTACTTTGAAAGGGGAAATGTGCATATATAATAGAAGATGATTTGTAAACTGGTGAGTGTAGTCGGTTGTCTTCTCCCTCTGCTTTTGGAAGATTTCATAACAGGAACTTCAAAAATAGGTAAACATAACATCAAAAATACGTATAATAGCTAGTGGTGGTAGCACATGCCTTTAATCTCAGTGCTTGGAAACAGACAGGAGGATCTCTGTGAGTTTGAGGCTAGCCTGGTCTACAAAGCCAGGACAGTCAAGGCTATACAATGAATACCTGTCTCTAAAAACCAAAACAACAAAATAATAATAATATTAATAATACTTGTAATGGACCTCTTCAGTTGCTTACTAGGAACCATGGAAAAATTCAAGGGGACTTATAAGGGAACTGAGATAGACAGTGATTTTACAGCAAGAAATGAGAACTTGAGAGAAAGTGCTGAGTGCACGCGCGCGCGCACACACACACACAGGCACATGTGCACACACACACACACACACAAAGAACATTATAAAGACATGTAAGAACTTTGAAGTTATAATCCAAGAGCATGAAGCATAGGGTTAGACTGTCCAGGTGTGTTTATTACATCATAACCTGATTATTTAAGACAAAAACTGAGATGAGAGTCATACTATTATTATTGTAACTGCTTAGGAAAATAGAAGAACTTCATGGTCCATTTTAGAAGAATTTAAAGTAGTTAATAAGAAACAAATGTTTATTAAATACGTAAGTCTTAAAATGCTTGGAGCTGTTCTGAAGATTGCATTGTGAGGGATGCCTTCTCCTTGAGATTCTGGGTATCCTGAAGGCTACTGCTGTTTCTTCAGCTGCTGAATCTCTCCCAAACTAGAGAACAATGCAAGGACTGCCCATACCCGGCTTCTCTTTGATTTCTTCTGCACATCTGTTCAGGTCTGGGGATGAGCAGAAAGCACTTTCTGCTCTGAGCTGTATCTCCATATTTTCTACCTTTTTTTTTATAAGGTCTCAATTAAGTTGTCCAGACTGGCCTTGAACCTGATTCTCCTGCTTTAGCCTCCCAAGTACCTAGGATTATAGGCTTATGGCAGCAAGCTTGGCTTAATTTGTCTTTTTTTTTTTTTTTTTTAATGATTTATTTATTATGTAGACAGTGTTCTGTCTGCATGTTTGCCTGTACACCAGAAGAGGGCATTTGATCTCATTATAGATGGTTTCGAGCCATCATTTGGTTGCTGGGGATTAAACTCAGAACCTCTGGAAGAACAGCCAGTGTTCTTAATTTCTTAACCATCTCTCCAGCTCCTTAAATTTTTCTTCTTAAGATATATATATATATATATAACCTGCCTCTGCCTCCTGAGTGCTGGGATTAAAGGGGTGCACAACCACTGCCCGGCTAAGAAATATATTTTTACCTAAATTTTATACATACATGTCTAACTTGGCCCCAATATTGGGAGAGAGAGAGTGTGTGTGTGTGTGTGTGTGTGTGTGTGTGTGTGTGTGTGTGTATATATATGTATATGTATATGTATATGTATATGCATTTCCTTGTCTCATCACTGCATCTTTAGCACTTAGTAGTCAATACTAAAGACTTGGATGAATGAAGACCAAACACTCAGTAAATATGTTTTGCTTGTGATATGTTAGATTTTATCCTCTTTTCCCCCTGCTTTCCATATATTCTAATTTTGAAAAGTTTAGGATTAGAATTTTATAGGGCTGGCAGGCACAAAGAGGTTTTGTTGCCTACCTGAGGTAGAGCCTTGTGGTTATTTTTGTTTTGAATAATGAATATATCTCTTAATGTAAAATGTAGACTAATACAAAGAGGTTCAAACACAGAGGTCATTCTCATTTTTTTCCCCTCCATTTTTCAAGACAGGGCTTTTCTGTGGTTTTGGAGCCTGTCCTGGAACTAGCTCTGTAGAGCAGGCTGGTCTCAAACTCACAGAGATCTGCCTGTTTCTGCCTCCCAAGTGCTGAGACTAAAAGTATGCACCACCACCGGCAGGCTCATTCACACTCTTAATCCTACTGTCTTATCCTGATGAATGTGGTGGCTAATCTTAGAATCACAGTATCTTCTGAGAAGCCCGTTCAGGAGCCACATCCTCCCCGGGTCAGGTCATCTCACCTTTGGCATTCATGAATTTACAGTACCCTTCTGCTTACCTATGTCCTGCTCTTTAATAAGCTTAAGTGGGTTTTGTTTTTGTTTTTTTACATCAAACCCCAGAATAGACAAGTTTTCAGGTATCAGCCTGTCTCTGATTAGCTTTGGTGATTTCATTGTGTTCACCTGATCTTTTGGTCAGTGGAGGACTCTGGAGGCAATCTTTTTTGAAGCATGACCATGTATTTGTATGACTGTGGTTCAGCAGTGAAAGGGCCACATAGAGAACTTCCTTGCTGTGTGTAGCTTGTATTGTGCTGCAGTTTAATTAGTCCTTATTGGTGGTCAGGCCTTAGAATGTATTTTGTCTTTCTTAAGGGTTTGCAGCACCCTATATTCTGGCAATAAGAAGGCCTGTTTTCTTGTATCTTAGCTAATAGATGCATCAGACATTTTTACACTCTCCTGATCTGATAGGGGAGGAACATCGTGGTAGAAGTTGAGTGTCTTTTCCTGTTTAAGGGCACTTGAATTTTCTTTTTCTTCTGTTAATCTGTGTTTCCCTACAAGTTTTGTTTTTTTCTTTTTAATTGACTCTTGCAACGACTAGAAAAATTTGTTGTTGCTGTTGTCCTCATCAATCTCAACACATCTTCATCTTGTTATGTAGCCTTTATTAGTTTTGAACTCATCATGTAGCTGGTCTTCAACCTGTGATTCTCCTGCCTCTCAGCCTCCCACATGCTGTGTATCCCCACTCCTGGTTTAAGGTTAGTTTGTGATTTTTTTTTTCTTTCTCAGTTTATCATTTGATTTTTATCAGTCTGATTTTGTATGATTTCATGTTCAAGATTCATTTATTATGAATACAGTGTTCTGCCTGCATGTATCCCTGCAGGCCAGAAGAGGGCACCAAATCTCATTACAGATGGTTGTGAGCCACCATGTAGTTGCTGGGAACTGAACTCAGGACCTCTGGAAGAGCAGCCAGTGCTCTTAACCACTGAGCCATCTCTCCAGCCCTGATTTCATATTCTTGATCCTGGTATTCATGCTTACTACTTCAGATAATACATGGTGTACATTCCTGAAAAGATTAGTTTATGTCTGACTTTGACTTAATGCACTTAACATTTGAAATCTTCCCTCAACAGACACGGCATCAACGAGGAGATACACATCCTTTAACTTTGGAGGAGATTTTGGATGAGACACAGCACTTAGATATTGGACTCAAGCAGAAACAATGGCTAATGACTGAGGTGAGAATAGTTTTTTTAAAACTGTTGTAAAAAAAAAAAAAGCTAATTACAAAAAAGGGGTGTTTGCTACAGCTATCTAGAGTTGGTTCTTTTTTTCAGGGGCAGGGGAACGGTGGCTGGAGATGAAACCCAGGGCCCAGCATGTGCTAGGACAGCCCACTACTGATAGAACACTCCAGCTTGTAGACATGTTTTATCAAATTTTTAAGTCATCTCCAGCTTGTAGACATGTTTTATCGAATTTTTTTTGGGGGGGGAGGTGGAGCTGGGGGATGTGTGTGCCTGTGTGTGTGTGTGTGTGTGTGTGTGTGTGTGTGTGTAGGGGATGGGAGGGAGGAGGGAGGCAGGGAGAAAGGGGCAGGAGATAGGGTCTCATTTTGTAATCCAAACTGACTTCAGACTCAGGGCAGCCTTCCTGCTTTACCTGCTTTAACTTCATGAAACATGCCTGGCTCAGAGTGTTTTTTTTTTTTAATAAATACTATAATCTGATAATGTTTTTTACTTTTTCTTAAAAGACTTGATGTGTAGAGCCTTTGTTTAATTTAAACATACACATCCCTGTAATTTTTTAGCTGTTTTCATATAAATTTGTTTTAAAAATTTTAAGGCTACTTTAAAATGTGAAGCCAGTGTACCAATTTTGTTTTTATAAATAGTAGTTTGAATTATTAAACTCCTAACTTTATATGCCTATAAATTGTATATTGTATATATGCTTTATTTATTTTGCTTTGTTTTTCAAGACAGGGTTTTTCTGTGTAGCTTTGGAACCTGTCCAGGCTGGCTTGGAGCTCACAGAGCCTGCCTCAGCCTCCTGAGTGCTGAGATTAAAGGGGTGCACCACCACTGCTTGGCTCTATATGTGGTTTAGAAAATTTAATTGTGATGTTAGGGACAATAAAACATTTTATTGTGTTATTACCACTGTATAGTCTGATAAGTGAATTGTCTTTAGTTTCTTAGGCAAATGATCACATATGCTATGTTTAAATATATGTACCATTTGAAGAAAGCCTGAAACAATTGCCGACCATGCCAGTTTGCCATCGAATGACATATCATCTGTTTGGGTGTTTGTTTCTTTAAATTGCCTACTTTTCAGGACCAGTCTGAGGATCAGATATTAGCTGGGATGTAGTGGTGCACGCCTGTAATCCCAGCTCTTGAAAGGGTAAGGCAGGAGGATGGAAAGTTCAAGGACATCATTAGTTCCAGAGTGAGTTCAAAGCTGCTCTGCGCTACAGTTAAAATTAAAAACAAACAAACAAACAAAAACCCAAACAAACAAACAGTACAGAATACCCACAAAATTACCAGATGTAATAATTTCATTGATTTATTTGAGGCAGGGTCTCACTCACTAGATCCTCCTGCCTTTGCCTCCCAAATGCTGGGATTAAAGACATGTGGCACCATGAGTGGCCTAATTCACTTAATTAATTTCACCAAGCAAGGTGTGATTCTCTGTTTTTGTAATATAAAATGATTTGAGCAAACCCAAATCATTGGAGGTCATAGTCTTCTATCAGTTATTTGGCCATTGCTCGAAGCAGAACCTGCCTGAGATCATTGGTTTTTATTCTTTAAGCTTTTTTTTTTTGAGACAGGGTATCACTGTGTAGCCCTGGCTGTCCTGGAACTCAACTGTGTAGATCAGGCTGGCCTCAAACTCACAGAGATCCACTTGTCTCTGTCTCCAGAGTGTTGGTGATAAAGATGTGTGTAACCACTCCTGGCTTAAATGTTACTCTGTTGTATAGGCTGACCTCACACTTGGCAGCAGTCTCTTGCCTCAGACTCCTAAATGCTGAGATTATAGTAGGTATGAGTCACCACAATCAGCTTATACCTATGATTTTTTAACTTAAAAATGTTTAGACACTGCTGTGATGTTCTCCCATTATAATGCCAATATATGATAGAGGAGGCATGGGCATACCATGTTCACTGTGTCATTAATAGGTTATTTTTTGATTCCTACTCAGTTTGTCTTCTAAAAGAATAAGGGTTCTTCAAAGAAATTGTAATACAATGAGTTTTCTCTCTAAAGAATGTATGCAAATAGTGTACAGTGTAGTTGGAGTTTTCTTTGGACTGCCAGCTTATGAAAGCACATGAAAGCTTGGCCTTAGTTTAGGCTTGTCCCACTAGCTCTTATAACTTAAATTGACCTGCTTCTGTTAATCTTTGGTTTACCATGTGGCTTTTACCTTTGTTTAATTCTGTATATCCATTCCCTCTGCGTCCCTCATTGACATAATTTGCACATCTAGATTCCCCCTCCTCTTCCTCTCTCTCCCTGGAAATCCCACCTATCTTCCCTGCCTAGCTGTTGGCTGTCCAGCTTTTAATTTACACCAATCACAGCATTACATCTTTTCACAGTGTTCACATATCCCACAAACAGTACATTTTTTTCTTTTCATCTTAAATAAGAAGCAAGCACTATGCTGATCACCTGTTCTGGGATCCTGGATGTCTAATAGTCTAATATTTTAGCTCTGCAAGTTTATAGTCCATAAATACTTCAATTTGCCCCTGTGTTGGGTAATATTAGAATTTAAGAACATACACATGAGGTTTCCTTTACTAAGTAAAACGTAATTGTGGTGTTATCACAGGCTTTAGTCAACAATCCTAAGATTGAAGTCATAGATGGGAAATACGCCTTCAAGCCAAAGTACAACCTGAAAGATAAGAAGGCCTTGCTCAGGCTTCTGGATAACCACGACCAGCGAGGACTAGGAGGGATCCTGCTAGAGGACATAGAAGAAGGGCTCCCCAATTCCCAGAAAGCAGTCAAGGTACTGTCCCTCATTTTCCTCCTGTGTTCTTACTGTGATTTGAGTTAGTAATGTCTTTTTTTTTTCTCCTTCCTTCTGCTTGAGACAGGTTTCACTATGTAGTCCTGGTTGTCCTGTTTTTATGTATGTGTCTGTGTGTATCTCCTCACATATGTGTGGGTGCTTAAGGAGAGGAGAGGGTGTTGGATCCTTCAGAAGAGCAGCAAGGGCTCTTACCCATTGAGTCATCTTCAGTCCCCTCTTTGAGGTTTTAAACATTTAAAAAGCAAAATTGAGTTAAATTTAAAGCCTTTATCCTGTATTACATGGGGTTTTAGCCATCCAATTAAAATCTGAACTTTGTGAAGCTGGAGAGAGGATGGCTCAGCAGTTAAGACAACTTGCAGAGACTTGGGGTTTGTTTCCAGCACCCACATGGTGGTTCATAGCAGTGTCTAGCTCCATTTCCCAGGGATCAGACTCCATCTTCTGACCTCTGAGAGCACTAGACCTACACAGGATGCGCATGTATGCATTCTGACAAACACGCATATGCATAAAGCAATCCAAAAAACACTTAAAAATAACTTTGCTCTATGCCACAGAGCAGAAAAGAGAATAACATCATCTTTGTGTGATGTTGACAGGTCTTTGGGATTTTGTTTTGTGTAGTTGTATCATGATTTGATCCTTCAGACGATTTCTAGAAAGTTTTTCTCAGCGACATTAGTGTATCTCTTGTAACAATAGTGTTAGATAATGCTTTCCCAAAGAACTAGATTCATTAAAACATAATAAAGTCATTACTTAATAACCTGTCTGTTCTGATACCCTGAAAGGATTTGCAGTAAAAGTTTGATCATGAAGATTGGTTTTTCCAGTGAAATTTGAGAGTCTTTTGCAAAAGCTGCTTGTTGCCATTCTGTGTTAGGCATAGTTAGTGCTGTATCACACACACATCTTTATGTTCTTTGACAGCTAAGAAGAAAGTATCCTCAAAGATAGAATTGCTGAAAAAAGAAATTCAGCTAAAACTTTGGGGGACATGTAGGACTCAAATAGTGTACTATAGGCTAAAGAAAAGAAGCTTTTGTTCTCTCTCTCTCTCTCTCTCTCTCTCTCTCTCTGGTGTGTGTGTGTGTGTGTGTATGTGTATTATATATATAATATCCATTTTTTTAATGAGTAATTTGATCTTATTTTTTTTCTTTTAAGGCTTTAGGGGACCAGATACTGTTTGTAAATCGTCCTGATAAGAAGAAAATACTTTTCTTCAATGATAAAAGCTGTCAGTTTTCTGTGGATGAAGGTGAGCCATTCTGTGCATATAAAATTGCAAGTATATCACAAATTGTTTTTTAAAGATGTATTTATTATGTATATAGTGCTCTGTCTGCATGCATGCCTGTAGACCAGAAGAGGGCACCAGATCTCATTACAGATGGTTGTGAGCCACCATGTGCTGCTGGGAATCGAACTCAGGACCTCTGGAAGAGTTCAGGCAGCCAGTGCTCTTAACTGCTGAGCCATCTCCCCAGCTCTTGTTTTTTTGTTTGTTTGTTTGTTTTGTTTTGTTTTTGAGATAAGGTTTCTCTGTGGATGTTCTGGACCTCAATTGGTAGGCCAGGCTGGCCTCGAACCACAGGGATGTACCTGCCTCTTGTCTCCTGAGTTTTGGGATTAAAGATGTATGCCACCATTGCCTGGCTCAGTATATCACAATTTTAAGGTGATATGGCTTGCATTACTTTTATTGTGTTGTGTTGGTGAGTTCCTTACCATTAACATCTCTTAGCTAAAAGACTCATATCTATTGTGTCACATCTTATGCTGACTTGAAAGGTTTTAAGTATATGTACATGAAATTACAGTATAGCAGTTTGGGATTTACATTTTTAAAATTTTTATGTTTTTGCTGGCATGTATGTTTTTGTACCACTTGTATGTTTGATACCTAGAGTCCAGAAGAGGTTATTAGATCCCTTGGAACTAGAATTATAGATCTTTGTGAGCTACCATGTGGGTACTAGGAATCAGACCCAGGTCCTCTGAAAGAGCAGTCAGTGCTCTTAACCACTGAGCCATCTCTCTAGCTCTAGTTCATGGTTTCTTGTGCTAATATCTCACTTGTTACCCACAGAGATCACCTGCCTCTGCCTCCTGAGTGCTGGGATTAAAGGCCTGTGCCACCTACACCTAGCTTTAGTTTTTATTATTAAAAACCTTTATTATGGGCACATAATAAAGGAGAATGGTGGCACATATTTTTAATTCTAGCACTTGGGATGCAGAGGCTCAGTGAGTTCAAGGCCAGACTGTTCTATATGGTTAGTCTAAGTCATCCAGGGCTTCATAGTGAGTCTGTCTTATAAACAAACATAGTTTTAAAGAAAACATATTCCTTTATTCTTAGGCACAATGATACTCATTTTGGGAAAACAAAACATAATTCTTAATACCTTACATAAATATATGTTCAAATACAAAGAGCAGACATGCTTGTCCTTTTGTAGATCTGGCTCCTTGTTTCATTTTCTTGAGACGTGGTCTCTCACCATGTAGCTCAGACTGGCTTTGAACTCCATATTCTCCTGCCTCAGCCTGCTGAGTGCTGGCATAGAAAACCATGGACTAGGATAGAGAGGTGACTCAGTGGTTAGAGCACTGGCTGCTCTTCCAGAGGACCTGGGTTTGATTTCCAGCATCCATATACAGATCTAGTCCCTTTGTTTTTGGCAGTTGCTTCTTTGGTTTTGTTCTAGATTATTCTGGCCTTGTTCCCTTCCCACCCCACTCCATATCTCTTTATAACAGTGGTTCTCAGCCTTCCTAATGCTGCAGCTCATTATACAGGTTCTCACGATGTGGTTACCCCAACCATGAAATTATTTTCATTGTTACTTCATAACTTTTGCTATTGTAATGAGTTATAATGTGAATATCTGTGTTTTCCTATGTTGTTAGGGTACCCCTGTGAAAGGGTTATTCAACCCCTAAAAGGTTGAGAATCCTTACTCTGTAATGTACTGATGTTGTTGCTTCTTGATTTCTCAGCTTTATATATTGTCTAATGAAATTTCCTTTAAAATTTTTATTATTATCTTGTTTCTTTGAGACAGGGTTTCTCTGTGTAGCTCTGGCTGTCCTGGAATTTACTTTGTAGACCAGGCTGGTCTTGAACTCATGTAGATCCACTTTCCTATGTCTCCTGAGTGGTGGGACTAAAGGTATGGGCCACCATGCCTGGCTTAATTTTGGTTAACTTATAGAAATGGATTTTATTGTGACATTTATACATACATATGTAATCCTTTATTCCTGTTCATCCTCAGGGAGGGAGGGAGGAAGACAGTGTATGTGTGTGTACCTGGGTATGGAACCCAGGGCGTGGGTGGGGTGAGGGAGAGGAAGGGTGTGCTTGTGTGCATACATGTGTGTTAAACCCAGGGCCTGAAGTTTGCTGGGCAAACACTACCACTGAGCTCTATGTCAGGTCCTCTAATGATATTCTTATCTCTCTATTCCAGTATCTCTTTCTCTTTGACCATCATAATTATAAACTTGTTTTGAGTTTATCCAACTTTTGCCTTGGCACCTTCAACATAGTCACATATTCTCCGTCACAGTTTTTAGTGTGAAGCTTGCCCTACAGATGGCAGCATAGGGCAGCATGTCTGCTCTGGAAGATGTTTAAGTTGAGGTGAGTGATTGACTGAAAAGAGATTGGAATAAACAGATAGCAAGAAGCTAGAACTTATTGATAGCAGTTTGTGGAGCCATTTCAGAAATATTCTTTCTGTTTAGTAGTAGTAGGACCACATAATCTTATTATCCCCATGCTAAACTATTAGTATTTCCTGTCTCTTAAGTGCTTTTTTTTTTTTTTGAGAATATCATTGCTTAGCTTTACTTAGTCATTTTGTTTGTGTGTCTTTTACTTGCACTTACATTATTATTATTATTATTATTATTATTATTATTATTATTATTATTATTATTATTATTATTATTATTATTATTATTATTATTATTATTATTATTATTATTATTATTATTATTATTATTATTATTATTATTATTATTATTATTACTTGTTGCTGTTGTTGTTTTTCGAGACAGGGTTTCTCTGTGGCTTTGGAGGCTGTCCTGGAACTTGCTCTTGTAGACCAGGCTGGTCTCGAACTCACAGAAATCTGCCTACTTCTGCCTCCCTACTTCTGCCTCCCAAGTGCTGGGACTAAAGTTGTGTGCCACCACCGCCCGGCTGCACTTACATTATTTAATATTGCATCTAGTTTAGTTTGCCATTTTATATGTCCTTAATTGGTCTAAAATCGCATGTTTGGCTGACAGAGATAAAGGGAAGCTTTTATTCCCTTAGCCTTCCAGATTGTAAGTAATTGATGATAAAAATATGTATTTCCATATAAAACTAATTGAAAAACCATAGATTTTGGATATGGGGTACAGTAGTAGAGTATTGGGCTAGCATTTAAGAGGCTCTGAGTTCAAACCCTAGCCCTGTACCCTCTCCTCATTCATGGCACATTTTGGTATTTGTCTTTGATATGGTTGCATCAGTGGTGATGTGTGTTTTAGCCCACTAGGTGTCAGTCTCCCGTATAGAGCAGGAATGCTCTTGAATGAGCAAGTAAAAGCACATGCCCTATGGTTTGTCTCTTCACAGCAATAAAAACCCTAACAGAGATAAAAACTAATAAAATAAAACCTTCAATAAAGATGCCAGCACTGGAGAGTCAGATATCGGGATTCTCATCAGGAATACCAAAAGCCACTACACTATGTAGCTGCAGCAGATGGTTGCAACTGTAGTCCCAGCGACTAAAATTAATCTTTCTTTCCTATCTGACTAATCAAACATAAAACTAAAAAACCTTGAGTCAAGATAACAAGTAGCCAGATAGGTATGACTATTTTAGACACTATATTTTCTTTTTTCTTCTTCTTCTCTCTCTTTTTTTTTTTTTTGGTTTTTCAAGACAGGGTTTCTCTGTATTGTTTTGGAGCCTGGAACTCACTCTGTAGACCAGGCTGGCCTTGAACTCACAGAGATGGGCTTGCCTCTGCCTCCTGAGTGCTGGGATTAAGGGCGTGTGCCACTATTGCCTGGCGCCCACTGCAACTCTTATAAAGAAAACATTTAAGTGGGGTGGCTCGCTTGCAGTTTCAGAGGTTCAGTCCATTATCATGGTGGGAAGCATGGTAGCATGCAGACAGGTGTGATGCTGACTATATCTTAACCAGGAGACAGCAGGAAGTTGACTGGGACACTTCCTCCAGCAAGGCCGTACTCACTCCCAACAAAGTCACACCTCCTAATAGTGACACTCCTACAAGATTGTGGGAGCCAATTACATTCAAACTATCGAAGCTGGTAACTTTTTTTTTTAAATTGGAATCTCAAACTGTTTGATCTTTATCCTTAGAGTTAAGATTCCTTCTAGTAGTTGTCACTTTTGAGACCTTACTTTTGGACTCTGTTGCTCTTCTAAGTGGTTACTTAGGTAGTTTTATTTTTACACTGCTGTGGATGGAACCTAGGGCTTTGTGAGCATGCTGGGCAGGCTTTTTCCCCCCCTCCACAAAAGGACATCCTTAGACCAGAGCACTATTTTTGATACTTGGTAACATTTGTTTCATGCTTGCATGTACTTTAGCACAATTTTTATGTTCTGCTGTAGAAAGTTTTACTTATTTTGCCACATGCTATTATAAGTGATGCTTGGTGTCATGCATACATATACTCATTTTGTTTGAGGCAGGGTCTTTTTACATAGCCCTTGCTATCCTGGGAACTCACAGAGATCCACCTGCTTCTGTCTCTTGAGTGTTGGGATTAAAGCTGTGTGCCCATGCCCTGCTTACATATGCCCATTTTCTTGAAGAGGAGTTTTACTGGGTCAAAAGATGTATGTGAACAGATCTTAATATCTTGTAAAATGTTCATGGTGAACTTTGTAGCATTTGTAAGAAAATAACCTGCTTCTTTGTATTTCATCAATAGTCCGTTGTCAGTGTTATCTACCTACATTCCCACCTGTACTAGTTACTTTTCTCATTTCTGTGACTAAATATCTCACAGCAGCTAAAAGCAGTTTAGGAAGGATTTATTTTGGTTCACAAATTAAGATAGAAAGACACAGACAGGCAGACAGACAGACAAAGGCTATCATGTCAGGGAGGCATTGCACCAGGACTTAGAGACAGCTTGTCACATTGTGACTGTAGCCAGCAAACAGAAAAAGGTGCTAGTGACAGCTGGTTTTGTTACTCAGCCTGGGAACCTCAGCCCTTCAAGATAAGGAACCATCTACATTCAGAGTGTATCTTACTTCTAGCTAATCTTAATTGCTAGCTTGACACACTGAGAAAGGGGCACTTCAGTCTGAGAAAATGCATGTCTGTAGGGCATTTTCTTGATTGCTAATTGGTGTAGGAGAGATTAGCCTGATGTGAGTAGTATCATCCTTGGAGCCTAGGTGGTGGTCCTGGGTTCTATAAGAAAGCTAGTTGAACACAAGTTGCAGGGAGCAAGCTAGTAAGCAGAGTTTTCCTGCCTTAGCTTCCCATAGTGTTGGACTGTAACCTGTAAGCAGAAATAAAAATTTCCTCCTACTTGGTCAGTGATTTTGTTTTTGTTTTTGTTTTTTGACACAGGGTTTCTCTGTGTAGCTTTGGAGCCTATCCTGGCACTCACTCTGGAGACCAGGCTGGCCTCTAACTCACAGAGATCCTCCTGCCTCTGCCTCCCGAGTGCTGAGATTGAAGGTGTGCGGCATCAATGCCCGGCAAGAAAAATGTTTTATTTAAAAACTTGCTGGCCATGGTTGATGCCCGTAATTCCAGCACAGGGGAGGTGGAGGAAGGAGGATTGACAGCTTTAGTAAAAATGAACAGGACCAGGGCTGGAGAGATGGCTCAGAGATTAAGAACACTAGTTGGTCTTCCAGAGGTCCTGAGTTCAATTCCCAGCAACCACAAAGTAGCTCACAGCCATCTGTAATGAGATCAGGTGCCCTCTTCTGTCTGGCCTTCCAGGATACATGTAGGCAGAACACTGTATACATAATAAATTAAAAGAAAAAAAAAAGAGAGAGCTCTTAAAAACTGTGTGTGTCTGTGTCTCTGTCTGTCTTTAATCCATGTTGAGTTGACTATTACCTATGGTATGAGATAACCTGCCTTCCTTTTCTACTTGTAGATTCAAGTAGATTTTTCTGGTACACTTTATACTTTTTGCCTACATGTATATCTGCATACACTTCTCTGCCTGGTGCCCACACAAGCCAGAAAAGGGCTTTTTCCTGAAACTAGAGTAAAGAGATGGTTGTGAACCACCATATGGGTACTGAGGAAGCCAACCTGACTCCTGGAAGAGCAGCAGTTACTTTTAACTGCTGAGCCATCTCTCTAGCAACCCTTATATTTCCTTCTCCCATTTTCTGTTTTTACAGACTGTTTCACATATTGAAAACTAACTAAGCTTGGCGATGGTAGTGCACACCTTTAATTCCATCATTCAGAGGCAGAGGCAGATGGATCTGAGTTCAATGCCAATTTGGTCTACAGAGCTAGTTCAGGACAGTCAGGGACACACACACAGAAACCCTGTCTTGGGGCAGAGGGGAAGAAAGAAAAGAAAAGCCAACTGAGATATTTATTTTAACTCATGTTAAGTTAGTCCTTTCTATATTCTCTTTTGTAGGTTGTTTCTGTGTTTTTGTGCTGCCTTGATTACTATAACTGTGATGTAGTTTGTGGTCATGTTGCCCGCAGCTGTTACTCTTAGTTTGAGATTGTATCCCAGTCTTTTGTTAAGTGTCACAGATTGAGTGAGTTATACAGAAAAGAGGTGTATTTGGGGGCCTTCTTCCTGGTAGAGTTCAGGAGTGTGTTGAAGGTGTGGTAATATACCAAACAGTAGCTGAACTGGCTGTATGAACTCTGACCCTTGAGATAATGCATTAGTTAGTATGCATGGATTCACATGGGTACAGCCTTAGTCACCATTTGTTTTGTAATAAAAGTTGAAAAAAAATATCTTTTTTTATGTGCATGGGTATTTCGCTTGCATGTATTTCTGTGCACTGCATGTGAGTGAGCAAGGCCATGGAAGCCAGAAGAGGACATCTGAACCCCTAGAATTTGAGTTATAGAAGGTTGTAAGCCACCATGTGCATATTGGGGATCAAATCATGGGTTCCCCGCAAGAATAGTCTTAGCCACTGAGCTGTCATATAGCTTGCAGATGAAGTGTGTGGTTAATGAACTGGCAAGGAAGGAAGAGGCATGTTGGTGTAGGGGTTGGCATAGTTGTCTGGTCTGCAGCCTCTGAGCTGTGGTAAACAGGAAGCTTTGTGAACCACCTCAGTGTTTGGGAGCCACCCTTTCTCAGTTCCCAGAGTACACACTGTAAGACTTGGCCATCACTCTGTGTGTGTGTGTGTGTGTGTGTGTGTGTGTGTGTGTGTGTAAGGAAAGGCTGACAAGGCTCTTAATGAGCTTGGTTATTAAAGCTGTCTTTAGGAGAAGAATTTAAAGTGCAAAGGATTTTTGTATTCGTGCGTGTCAAATACATGAATGACATGGAGGCTAGACACCCATCTTTCTACTTTGTTTCATATGCGTATTTCTCAGCCCACCCCAGCTGTTTTGCTTTGGTTTTCCTTTTTGTGACTTACCAGTTCCTTGGTTAGTAGATTTAAAAAAAAGAAAAAAAATGTAAGCAAACAAGCATGTCACCTTCATATAAAGCTTTGGTGCCCCGTCTCCCCAAATGCTTCTAACTCTCAGTACAGAGGTGGAATACATTGCGCTCAGGGCCTTGAACCAGTATTTGAATAATTTGTGCCACAGGGAGGGAGCTGATTTGGGAAGAGTGTTAATTGCTTCTCTTCCCATGGAATATAGGAGAAGCTTCAGCCACACCATCCTTCTCTTACTGTTTCTGAAGAATAGAGCACACTGGTGGCTGTCCAGCTGCATTTCAGATCAGAGACCCCTTCTGTTGCTGTGTCCAGCACTGGAATAGTCTTGCCTTCCCTCCCCTCGTTCTTTTTTTGAGACTGTATCTCACTATGTATCCTGTCTGCCTTGAATTTGCTGCTACCCTGGCTGTCCTTGAATTCACAGAGGTCAGCCTGCTCTGCCTCCTGACTGCTACAATTATAGGTATTTGTTTGTTTGTTTGTTTTTTTAGTGAAATCTCAGTTGTATGGATTTAGGCCCGATAATATTCAAAGTGAATTTAGATCACAAGATACAGTGGTTTATAAAAATCCATGATAAAGTAACTACTGTCTTGTTGGTTTAGAATTCCAGAAACTGTGGAGGAGCGTCACTGTGGATTCAATGGATGAGGAGAAAATTGAAGACTATCTCAAGCGACAGGGTATTTCTTCTATGCAGGAATCTGGACCAAAGAAAGTGGTATGTCATCTTTATAAAAGCAGTTTCGTCACTTCTTCACTGCTTCTCCTCTTCCTCTGACAAGTGAGGAAGGGATTCCCTCTACTAGGTTTTCTCGGAGCCTAATGCATTCATTGACTTGCCAGATACAGCTGGGCATATCTGATGTATTGAGGCCAGTGAACCATCCATGGTGATGTCCCAGCTTGGGAGAGCGAGCTTTCTTTCTTTCTTTCTTTCTTTCTTTCTTTCTTTCTTTCTTTCTGGTTTTCGAGACAGGGTTTCTCTGTGGCTTTGGAGGCTGTCCTGGAACGAACTGTTGTAGACCAGGCTGGTCTCAAACTCACAGAGATCCGCCTGCCTCTGCCTTCTGAGTGCTGGGATTAAAGGTGTGGGCCACCAACACCCAGCTGGGAGAGCTTTCTTATCCTCCAGCCTGTCTAGCAGTGCAACTTGAGTCCAGTCAGGGACTAACATTTCTGGCCTCTCATCCCATACATACGTTCCCTGGTTTCAAAAAGGAGCCACATCTTCATCTGGTGCTCTTTCTTAGACCTCCATTGTCCCCTTCATACCAATGCCTGGATGGAGCTGTCATATCCTGATAATACTGAATTGTCATTTTTTAGGAACCGTTTACATTTGTCATTCTAGTCCTTAAATTGTACTCATAGTGGATATTAAAGTGAAGGCTAGTAAACCCCCTGCATCTGGTAACCACTAACCTGTAGTTCAAGAACAGCCGGGGCAGAAAGAACTACTAGCACTCTAGACTTGGGACTCTGCTCTCTCCCCTTCCACGCATACTTTGTAGCTTTCCATTTTTCCATTTTTTAAAAAAGTGATTCTCTAAGAGTCACTGAATAAAAGAAAAAGATTTATTGTCGCTGGGCAGTGGTGACACATGCCTTTAATCCCAGCACTTGGGAGGCAGAGTCAGATGGATCTCTGTGAGTTTGAGGCCTGGCTGGGCGGCAGAGAGTTAGTTCCAGGATATCCAGGGCTACACAGAAAAACCCTGTCTTGGGGTGTGGTGGAATACACACACCAAAACCCTTAATACTTTATCATTGTTTATTTTGAGCTTTCCAAAATGTGATATTTCCAGTATACAGAATAGAGAATGTTGCAATGCTCCATGTCCCTAGTTTTGTCATTTCTCAATATTTTGCCATATTTACTTCAGCTCATTTTTTAAACTGCTAAGTGGCAAGAACTTTTTTAGACTTGTTAGTGGAAACAAAGCACAGGAAATCACTGTCTTTTATTTTATTGACTTAGTGCCTATCACAGTTGCGTTACACTTTTGTGCCTTGCCTGTTCACTCCAATGGAGGTTTGTGCCTTGTGGTATTGGGACACCAACCAGGGCTAGTTGGAGGCTGGGTGTGTGCTGTGAATGGGGTATGTGAAGCAGGGCCCTCGAAGCAGGAGAAAGGAAAGGGCTCCAGACCCTGAGTCTTTGCTGCTGGTCTCAGGGCTTGCTCAGTGAATGCTAACCATCGTGTCCCCTGGAGTCACTGTGGTGTTACTGTCTTACCTTTTCCTGCAGGCCTCTATTCAGAGAAGAAAGAAGCCTGCTTCACAGAAGAAGCGCCGGTTTAAGACTCACAATGAACACTTGGCTGGAGTGCTGAAGGATTACTCGGACATTACCCCTGGCAAATAGGCAGCATTTTTATCCTCAAACAAGGTTGCAGACACCATCAGGGTCTTTCCTCATGCTTGGGATCTGAAGACTCTGCCTTCCCGTCTGCTCCTCAGGACTGAGGAGAGGAGCAGTTCAGTTTACAGAACAGGAGTGCATTACCAAATCCAGCTTTGTCACCCAGCCAGGCTAGTGGGAAACAGTTCCTGTTAACTCCTGGGGTTGGTTTTTTTTTTTTTTCCCTAGAAAGACACTTAGCATGGCATGCAGGTGTCTTTGTTTATCTTGATTTCTAGATGGTTCTTGATTCCTGTTTTCTCTATTGCTTTAGAACAGATTGGCAGATAGTGCTGGATGCAATATTTCTTTATTCCAAGAGAAAATATTTATAATAAAATCATTTGTAGGAGGATCTTTAAGAAGTTAGGAAATTCAGTTTGTTTCTCTTAATTCTTGAAAATAGCAGGGAACAGTGGCAGTCATTGGTTGGTAGGGCAGGTGTTTGGGACGTCACAAAGATGAGTCAGTGCTGTTGGCAAGTGTGTGGGTTTCATCTTTGGAACACAGGGTATGACTCTGGTTAATAAGCTAAGCAATAAAATTACACTAAATGTAATTGTTAATGCTTTCTTTAAAAAGGCTAAGTATTTAGTAAGTTGGTTTCATGATTTGATACCATCTTGAACAAAGATGAGGAGACACTTCTTGCCAGCCTGAACATGCACTTCACCATAGCCCAGCTCTCAGGTGGCTGTCCTGGCCATTGCTGGTGGAGGGACCCTCGGTCACCATTGTCAAGTATGTGTGAGTTTTTAGGGTTTTCACATGACATTTTCTTACCTGCCCTTTCCTATGCTCCCTTGAAACAGTATTATTGGAATATAAAAACCAAGTTTAATATTCTCAAAAAAGGCACAACAGTAACCCAAAGCATTGGGCTTCTGATGAATAATACTTCATATCCATTTTGTGTCATCGGTATGCTTTACCTCTTACCTCCGAGCTCCAAAAATATGGTCTAAGAAGATGTCACGCTGTGCCTCCCACATCAATTAGAATAGAAATTTACCATCTTGCTTTGTGTCTGTAGGTTTTTGCTGGTAAGGATGTTTATGGCGTGGGTTAGCTTTCCCCATAAATGTAGACACTCACTTGCCTCCCAGCAGATGCCTCTGTTTGCAACCATTTTCTTCAAGGCCTCCTGGACAGGTAGGTGTTCAGATACTTGCTTTCCTACCAGGCCTGTGTCTGGTGACTTCTAGCTAAGCCTGTTCATATTAATTTCTTACCTCTCCACAGAAATGAAGAAATTGAAATTTAGAAAATTAAAGTATCTTGCTAGTTGCTAAGCTTGTAAATTCTATAATTTTGTTTAATTCACTTGCATTGTCTTGCAAGTATCATTCCCCTTGGTCTATAGCCTGTGTGAATATTCTCTGCTGCGGTACTGGGACGGCATCCCTGGATGAGATGTGGGGAGTAGACAGTCCTATGTGACACTTGAGAGCCTGGTTGTGTTCAGTGGCTGTAATAGAAAGAATGGACTCTGGCAGCAGCTCTTCTGGGTGACTGAAGATACTCCTCCAGAAATTCCAAGTGAAGTCTTGATCTCACCTCTGCCAGTTGCTGCCTGATCTGCTGCCATTTAGAAGCAAGTGGGAATGGGCACGGCTGGGAGAGTTAAAAGGCTGAGACAGCCTTCAGTGCATCTGATCTATAATTCATCACACTCACAAGAGGCTTTTAGGGCTAGTTAAGAGAATGTAGTTGAGCTTAGACAAAGTATAAAAATGCACCTCTGGCTGCTGCTGCCACAGCCTGTAAATGTGGTCAGATGATGGTCAGACCCAGGGGATGGAGAAACACTCGATACTTGTTGGTGTAGGAACTTCAGTCCCAATACTTGTGGGGAACCTGTGAGTGTACAGCTCTGGATCTCTCTTGTGACCTCTTTGTTCGAAGTCACTGGAGTGGAAGCATGTTCTGAATGTAGGCACTTGAGGGACAAGGACATTTGGATTTCTGAATTTTCTGATTTTTGTAATGATAGTTTTCTGAGACATAGAAGATAAAACTTAGTGTCCCCCTTTCTTCCTAGTTACTGCTTTACTTTGAAATGATTTGTTTTTGGGAAGGTTGTTTTTTTTTTTTTCCTAACTGTTGTTAGCTAGCTGAGACTAGCTCTGTGCCTGGGGATGAGCAGTGGCCTGTCTTTGCTGTCTTTGGAGCTGCATGTAGTACAGTTGTTTCCCAGTGGGTCTTTACTGAGAGATCAGTAGGTGATCATGAAAGGCTCAATTGGGGACTTGGAGACCGTCTCAGACTAATTTGGAACACCTGGCTCTGGCTCGTCTTGTGAATTTGGGGAGAGCATATTATGGAAAGACAAATTGGAATAGGGTCTGGCATTGTGGCACAACCTTTCTTCTGGTTCTGGAGCTAAAGCATTTTCCTTCATAAAAGTTTTTCCCTCAGAAATAAATATATGTGGCTGGTCCATGACCGTACCACCTTTACCATGTCTGATCTTGGAAGCTGCGTGTGATCTGGCTTGGTTAACACTTGCACAGGAGAAATGTCTCTTTAGCAGATTGACAAGGGCCCTCTGGAAGTATGGGCTGCAGTATGACCCAGCCCCACTGGTTTGGAAGTTGGCTAGCGTAGCCATGTGACCTCATGCTTTCAAGATGGGTGAAAGGCCAGTCACTTTTCATCTGGCCAGAACAATGCATGTATGTGGCTTTGGGTTCAGGTCCCTAGAAACAACAAAAATATAAGAATATCAAAAGTGATAACTGGCCAGGCAGGTGGGAGGCAGAGACAGGTGGATCTGAGTTCAAGGCCAGCCTGGTTTGCAGAGTAAGTTCCAGAATAGCCAGGGCCACACAGAGAAACTCTGTCTCAAAAAGCAAACTCAAAAGAATGGTAACTAAGGAAACTACAGCCTGAATTTGGTAAGGCCAGTTCTAGAAATGTTAAAAAACAGGTGTACTTTTGTACTTGGCTTTTTTAAGACATTGAACATGTTTGCCAAGTCCTTTCACTGAAACCACATGTAGTTTTTGGAGAAAAATGTTCCTTTGTCCAGGTAAATATTTTAATTTGGACATTATTTCAAAATGTATTTAGTTCAAAAGACAGCTTAGGTGAAATTTAAGCATCTGGTTTGATCACATTTATAACTGGGGGGTAGGGATTGGAAAGGGCCTGGCTTTGTAGTTCATTGATCTTGAATTTTCTACCTCCTGCCTCAGCCCCATGACTGCTGGGATCCCAAGGATGTGCTGCTATACCCAGTTTCTAATTTGACATCAACAGAGAAAGGGGGCTTTTCAATTGTGTAAGTAGAACAAATCCCCCTCTCCCCCTGCCCTCTTCACACCCCTCCTTTCTAAGTGAGAACTCTATATGAACAGTGAAGAGCAAAAGCTTCAAGTTGTCGGTTTGTGAGAAGACTTCCCTTCTCCCCCAGTAAAGCAGAAAGTTACTGCGGTTTGTCTCCCCAGGTGCACTAGGAAAGAACTCATGGGTATCAGTGGGCTACAAAAGAGTTTTTGCATGGTGGCTTCTTTTCAAACTTTGGAATCTAGCCAGAGCAGGGTAGTTGGTATTAGCAACATTAATCCTGTATGTGTGTTCTACAAGGGTGGTAGATAGAAACTTGACAACATACTCTAATTGAAACACCGTAATCAAACTGCCAACTGCATGTGGTTTGTTTAGCACCAGTTTTAAGCATTTTAAGGACGGGTATTTCGGCGACCATTTCACTAACCTTCTCTAGCCTTCAAGAGTGTTGTAAATTATTTAGTTATAGAGAGTATAACACTGGTTTAAAATTTTAACTTTTTAAAAAGTTAAAAAGAACATCCATTATGGGATTATGCAGGGGAGAGTGATTTTTCAGTGAACAGTTGGCTGACTCTGATTATTGAGAAAGAATTGAGTGTTGGCTGTGCTTCCTCAGGTAATGCTTGTAGTCCTCTTGCTTCAGCCTTTTTTGGTTCTGGGATTACAGATCTACACCACGTCTGACTAGTTCTTAAGGATGCCTGGTGGATGGGGCCATATTGGTTGCAAAGTCTTCATGAAATAAGGGCAGGTATGCAAACATCGGGTCCAGTGATTAACTAGAGGTGTTCTCATTTCAAAACTTAATATTCTCAATCCTCTCTTTAAGTTGAAATTTGGTTGGGGGGGTGTGTTTAATTCTATGTTAGTTTTATAGTTAGTCTTGTGTTCCTGGGGAGAAGCCATTTGGCTCAGTTACCATTCTTTTGAAGCCTGTATAATTGAGACCTTTTTATAAGGAAGCAAACCCATGTACCCTTTCCTAATCCCGAGTTACTGGTTCCCAAAGATCCTGCACTTATTTTTGCTCAATAGAGTGACAGAAGATATTTCAGAGAAAGTTAATGAAACGGTGTAAACTGCTTGGTCAGTGGAAATTAGGGCTTTTCCTGGATTGAGACACGCCATGTAGGCATGCCCTTGCACATAGCCACTCTCAGTGCATCCCAAGGCCTCTTGTGAAAAATGCATAGGGAAGTGACTGTTTTTGGACGGGGATAGCTTGAGGTAGTGATGCTCCATTAGTGCCAGCTGTGAGGTAGTCTCTGGTGCCGTAGGGTTGGGACCTCACTGAAGGCAAAGCCACACTATCAGTGTGCTCCATAAAGCAATCTTAGACATACTTCTAAGAGCTGGAAGCTACACTAGTCTTCCCCATGAATGTCAAATGATCAGAAAGCAGTGACTTTGGCCTGGTTTGGATGGCTAGGCTCTGGAAAAATAAGTCATGAGCTGAAAATCAGTGCCTAAGACTGAAGGTCATGACCTTCAGTTAGGAGGTGAGATGGGCTGGGGAGTTAAGAAGGATCAGAAGTTCAGGGTCATCCTTGGCTACACAGCAAGTTCACTGTAAGCCTGGGGATCACATAAGACCTGGGCAGGGGGAATTATGGGAGTGTATACAATACTGTTATCTTGGCTGAATCAGCATCCACATTTTTCTAGATTATGAGCATTTTTAGAAAATGGTTTTATTTTGTTTATGTGTTGTGTGTACTTTGTGAGGCTGCTTGAAGATGTTTGTATCCCAAGGACCTCCGGGTACTGCTGTCTGTGACTAGATGTACGTGCTGGAACCTAACCACAGTTTTCTGTAAAGCAGCAAACTTTCCTAACTGAACATACTATAACCCCCCCCACCACCACCACCACCATCTCACTGGGTAGCTCTGGTTTCCTGGAACTCACTATGTAGACTGGCCTGGCTTGAATCTCAGATCTGCATGCCTCTTGGGATTTAAGGCATACACCACTATGCTTGGCAGAATCTTACTTTTGAGCTCAAACTTTGTAGGTGAGGGTAGATGGTACCAGCTGACCTGAGTTAAAGGTACTTAGGTGTGTGAAGCCCTCAGGTACACGTGGGTGTATTGTAGTTACCCTCTGACTCTTACTGCCTGGAAATGGAAACCTCTGCATTGTGGGATGTGATTGGTTGATGTGAATAAGTTGCCAAACAACCATGTAATAGCTGGAATAAACTTTATTATTTTTTTTTAAAAAAACGACAATAGAAAAGTACCTTTACACAATTTATAAAAGCATAGTTGATGGTGAAGTGGCTCTCTCTTTTTAAATCAAGTAGAGGAGGGCATGAGTGGTCCTAAACACTAATGTGGATGTCTTAAGTCCCCAGGTGCTGCCTGCACCCTTTCCTCTAGTTTTAGTGAAAGGACCTTACTCCAGGCCTTGGTGTTTCTTTTTCTTTTTTTAGTAAACTATAAAAACTTGACATTATTGATTCTAATGAAAAATAATTCCCCCCAACCAATGATATAATCATTAAAACATGTTTTCAAGACAATACAAGCAGAGCAGTAACAAAGTTACAAAGGTTGTAACTATGTCTAGCTATATCAGCAGCAGGCAACTCTGAGGGCAATAGAGTACTCAGACAAGTACATGGCTCTTGTCTGAAAAGCCTCTGGAAACCTGTTGGTCTGCAACACAAGTCTAACTTTGGGTTAAGAAGTCTTCCAGCAAAGGTACACAGCATTCCTTGTAGACGGCCATGGTAACTTGTCCCACCCAGTGCAAAATGTTGTGGATAGGCTCAAACTGCTCGAGCACACAGTATTCGGGAGAACATTATGGATGGCTGCCAGGCTTTAGAACACCAGCTCATGTAGGCCTGTGCTGTGCAGATTTTGCTGAAGATGTGATGCCTTTGTTGCCAAGCAAGCTGGTTGGGCAGCCTGCCTCTCCCGAGGCCACGTTGGCCTCAGAGGTTCAAACCAAAGTCCTCCACTTAGTGGTTCCACTGGGGACATGAGAACAACTTATGGAAGGTGAGTGATATATTAGGTCATACACTTTGAGGTGCTATCATAAATGTAAGAACATAATGAATACAAGTATAAAATGGCAATACCTCACTTGGCACAGTTTGTATCGTTGCGCCCAGAGCCACCATGATTTTCAGATGGTACACTGTGCTCAGGAGACATGACCTAAGTAGTAGTCTTTGCCCAGTTGTGCATACACTAGGATGGCAGATCTCCTGGGGGCTTTGTCTTGCAGAGTTCATTTCTACACCATGTTACTAATGTGCCCTGACTCTGGCAGATGGAGTCCACACATTCACAACACAATTGTGTAAGTTCTGATGCTATTCAGAGACATGCCTCAAACATGCAGCTTATTAGGAGAAAAAACATGATATTTGTCATTAAAAGCATTCAAAACTGAAGCGCAGAAGTGAGCTAACCTAGTGTAAGAATTCATCCCTCCATTCTTAAAATGTCTGTTAGAAAAATACTAACCGTTTTGGCTTTACTGTTGTCTTTGTTCTATTCAAGGATGCCTCCAAACTGTACAGCAGTGTCAGACCATGCATTCACAAATAACACGTATTTCTTAAAATTATACAGTGTAAAAGAGTAAAACACATTTTATTATATATGTTTTTTTCTTTGAGGAAACAGATGTGTGATAGAGGCTGTGGCAAAGTCTTGAAGGGATCAAAACTGGGCAAGGCATTTTCAAACCTGCAACAGAAAGAAGACATATTGGAGAGCAATCTTAACAATCATCAACAGCACCTTCAGCGCCATTGCTGAGCTTCTGTGAGACCTGTAGTATGGCAGCAGACTCTGTGGGTACTGGATAAAGACTTCAAGCTGGACATAATCAGCCCTGGAGGCTGGGGTTCCAGGCCAGCCTGGGCTACAGAGAGACCCTGTCTGGAGAAAATAAAGCAAGGGGCCCAGCCAGATGGCTCAGTGGGTAAGCATATTGTCAAGTCTCATGACCTGAGTCAATCCCGGGGACTTCTGTGGTAGACAGTGAACACATTCCTGCAAGTTGGCCTCTAACCTCTCTCCACATGCACTAAAATAATCTAAAGTGGAAACCTTCTTTCCCTGAAGTTTGAACAAATGGTCATGTATTTTGCTTTGTGGCAGAATCTGAGGATGGTGTTAGATTTGTTTTTTGTTTTTCCTTTGAGAGGAGCTTGCTTTGTAGCCCAGGCTACTCGAACTCACAGCCCTCCCATCTCACAAATACTAGGTACTGCCCGCCTCTGCTACCCAAGTGCTAGAATTAAAGGCATGTGCCACCACTACCCAGCTTTGTAAACCTATTTTTATTGTCATTCATTTTACATTCTCCAACTCCCATATTTTCTTGCCATCTAACTGACAGGTTGCTGTCAAACAGAAAAGGTATACATAACAGCAGACTCAGATTCTGTACAGAGAAAGGCTTATGTAACAATAATAATAATGACCTACAAGTTTTAAGGCCCAAATACAATGACTATGTACCTGTAGCTTGGAAAGGCACAAGTGAGAAAGCAAGCTGCACACAGCTTTGCAGAGCAGGAACTGACCTGCAGGCATACTGTGCTGTGACTAATGCTTTTCTGTCTCTCCCGGCTGCTGCAATCCTAACACATCAACAGCTGCTTCCTGTAGAGAGCCATAGGAACGCCTTAGCCTTGCAGTGACCACTTCCTGGCAGCAACATTCTGAGTCAGAAGTGTTTGGCAGGGATAAACAAAGAACTAAAACTTCTTTAGGAACCTCTCACACTTAGTACCACTGGGGACCACATACCCTGTGATGCTCAAGTAAGGAGAATCTAAACGTGTCTATCTCTAGGTGGGCACAGTGGGGATCTCTTGTTCAGGCCAGACTAGTCTACATATGAGTTCCTGGCTAGTCAGGGCTACACTGTTAGACCCAGTTTCAAACCAGTCGCCAAAAACACTCACAAAAAGTGCCTGTCTTTTCTGTTAAACCCCGATTTCTCCCTGAGAGGGTGAGGCAGAGTTCCCACAAGCTAGGTATGCACTGAGTGGCATTTCCCTGACTGGGCGGGAGGAGTGGGAATCTGGGGCAGAAGAGGACAGATGGAGTCATGTTTTAGGTGACAGCAACAAAAATTCTTGGTGAGCCCCTGGCCTCATAGCCTGACTCACTTCCTGACATTACTGAGGTATCAAAGGAGCTTCAGCTGAAGCTCACTCTGTCAGCACATTCCTGCCTTGCTCCCCATAGGAATGACATGACTTTCCACCATCTACCTCCTGACCTTGAGCACAGTCCATCAGATCCAGGCTGTCTTGCAGGAGTTCCTGCTGTGGAGACTCCCAAGGCACAGCACTGGGCTCTGGGAGAGAACAGATCTTGCTGGTTCATAAGACCATCTTGGGAAAGCAGCACACTAGACAGTGACCAAGACTAAAGACTTAGTGGGTCACTGCAGCTGGCAAGGGGGTTAAGCTCAGCTGTTGAACACGAGTCTACACTATCCTCTGTCATTGTTGGCTGCCTTCACTGTAGTCTTGGGCAGCTCTGTCCCTTCCAAGGTACCAGCATAGCTGTCCTAGGACCATCTCCTTCCTGCCAACCCCGAGTAGCAGAAAATAACAGCCCCTCATACATCTCCATTGGCTCCATTGGCAGTCCCAGTACATCCTTCAAGACTGTGTCTCAGGCTGTATTTCCCCCTTCCCTAACCCCCCTTAGCATTTACAAACTCTGTCTTTGAAGACCCATCTTTCCCAGGCTCCCCAATCTGGAAGAGCTTTGTAGAGAGAAGTCCCTGCAGAACAAGGCAGAAATTATGTTGGATATTACTTTCTTCCCCAAGATGATCCTCCACCCCAGAGGGGTTAGCAGGCAAGGTACAGCAGAATGTCCACTTAGACACCTGGGGCCCACCCTGGGGTCTACACAGTAGCTCTGAGGTACCCTGCTGTAGGAAGCTGACTCCTCCGGGATGGGTGGATAAGCCTCTGACTCTTGACTTTGTAACACTCTGCTTTCCGTCCTGTACTTTCACACAGGATCTTCTGAAGTTGGGAAAGGAGGAGTACAGAACCTATAGTTCCCTGAGCTTTCCAGAACTCCATGGAGACGCAATTCTCACATGGGAAAGGAATGTATCCACACTGCCATCTATGTCTGAGACTGAACACAAGGTCAAAATGTAGCTATTTCAGTCCCTGTAAACAAGGAAGAGGTTTAGCGAGGAATGGAGTTCAAACCTTGGAATGTGTTAACAAGGACGTTTAAACAGAATCCAAAGACATCCGGGAACACAGTGCCATGGAGGGGCAGTGGGTTGGGCTGGATGACTAGGGGCTGATTCTATTCACAACTGGGGAAGGAGGCCCAGAACAACATTTAAGTGGAGTCTCACAAAAAAAAAAAAAAAAACTACTGGTGACAGACAGCCTGATGGACAACCTGAGCTTGAGGCAGCTCCTGAAAGTTGTCCTGGCTTCTTCGATGTGTCCTCTATGCACGTGTGTGAACATGTGCAGTCATGCACAACACAGTTTAAAAAGCGGGGAAAACTCAAAAGTTCCTTGTGTTGAGTAAGTGGCAGTACTACATTGGAAGGCATGGGAGACTGTGTATGCAATCACAAAGCATCTGATCAGCTGGCTTTCATATGTAAGGTCACTAGGGCATGTTGTTGACTCACAGGTGGAAGGTACTTAAAGTGGAACAACCATTTGGACTTCTGTCTTGCTAAGCTACACTCTACCTGGCCAGGCTCCAGGTAAATTTTCTCTCCAAGAAACAACTGTTTTGGCCACCCAGCTGCATACATGTGGCCTAATCTCCCCTGAAAACTTAACTTTAACCTCTAATATTCATTTTTGCCAAGTCAGGTAAGAAATTTTCCTCTGCTACCCTGACTCCATTAGACATTAATTTTTATACTGGTCAGCTTAATCAGGTACTAATATAAGTGAATATTTAAAACATTTAAAGTGTTTAGTCTATATCTTCTGCAGAGATGGCCTAGGTCTAAGGGTAGAGGGACCCGCTTCCCTCCTCAGCCCAGGTGTGCCTGTCTGGCAAGGATGGCTCACATACGCACAGATTGGCAACAAGAACAGCCTCCACCCTCTTGCCATAGTAGTCTCAGGAACTGCAGAGCCAGGAGCTGAACTGTCAGTGCCATGGCATGCCCTCCTCCCCTGCCACCCATCTTCCTAAACATTCCAGGGGCATCTGAAACTCTAGTCTTGAGCCCCCTGTCACCTCCTGCTTCTTTATTATATAGGCCCTTCTAGTATTGAGTATGACACCATCCACTTCTGACAGTGGGCTAGTGGACCTTGGACAACTAATATCCAGCACTGGGGAGTTCAGTGGGAGAGCACTTGCCTAGGACCTGGATTTTACCCCCAGGACTAGAAAAAAAGAAAAAAAATTAGAGAAAACAAACCCCATTAAGATTAAAAGTATCATGGGCACTACTGCTGTGGGCCATGATGAAAATAAACAGATTACAAGGCCATACAACAAAGGGGAAATCATCAGCTGCTCTACATGTGTCATTATGGTGCCTTTGAAAGCTTTGTGCTGCTGTGGGAAACAGACCAACAGGGAAAATACATTCTGCTGGTGGCTTAATTCCCAGGTGCAAGTCAGGCACAAGGGAGTACATCAGATGTGCATCTTCTAAAGGAGTGTTAAAGAGCTGCTGTTCTCTGCATGAAATCACCCCTACTGACCTCCTTTGTTAGTTGCCTGGTCCGCTGTCCTCAGCAGCAACCTTGCCCTCCTTTTTTTTTAAGGCCCCTCATAATGAAATTTGCCTCCTTATTTGGGCTGAGGCATGAAGTGTCCCTGGCATTCTGTTACCAGAAGCCAAGTTCTGCAGTCACTGAAAGCTGCCATCTGAGTTTGCAGCGAGCAGGTCATCTCTGGTAGGGCACATTGAATTTCATTTACAGACTAATACCCAGTGCCAGGCTTGGAGGCACACATCTGTAATCTCAGGACTTGGAAGGCCAGGGGAAGAAGATCCCAAGTTCCACGTGGGCCTGAGCTATATTGTGAGACCCTCATCAAACCAAACTAAAACTGACATAGCTACTACTAACTGAAAAAGACAGGCCAGGAAGGCCTCGTGACATGGAGGAACCCCTGGAGAATCCTACAGAATTAGTTTAGCCACACTTGCTGTAATTTCAGAAGAGGTTGAAATTTGTCCTCCTGTAGAGAAATGGCTTCTTTATATGTAATTGGACAGATACAAGGGAAACACATACACTGTCTCAGATTCCCAACAAATTGCTAATTTGCAAACTAAGGTTTGGGAGCTGAAAGGGAGGAAAAAAGCTTCATTGTATTAAATTCCCTGCTACTGGGGTAACCAGACATGAATGGAGCCAGCTTTACTTGAGGAGGCCATATGTGATCTGCAAACTGTTATTGCCAGGCATGATGGTATATATGTTTCCCAGCACTAGAGAGGCTGAGGCAGGAGAATCAAGATTGAGGCTAGCCTGGGCTACATAGTAAGGTGCTGTTTCAAAACAAAAAGCACCCACCCTGGCTGACCTGAAGTGGTTTGTGGCTGGGAGTCACTGGAAGGGCCTGCCAGACAACTGGAGAGGGTAGTATGTAGATACCATAGGCCCATGCAGACGGAGGCTGTGGTTCCAGGAGATACTGGTGTCCATCCTGCCCACACTGGTTGCCACCTGACTTTGGCACTCACCAGCAAGCTCCAGTTTTGCAGAACAGCTGGATGACAGTCGCCACCAGTGAAGATCGCATTAATACCCCCAAGACAGATTGCAGCCGCCATCACACACCCGAGACCTGGGTGGACAGAGAGATCTGTTAACTGCACATGGCAACCTTTTCTGTGGACCTCATGCTGCCCTGGGTCAGGACGACCAGCCTGCTTTGTTGGGGCAAGGAGCTGAGCACAGTTGCCACTGTAGGATGACCTTGCAAGGAGCACAGAATGCAGGCAGGAAAGTGGTCTGGGGACTTGGAACAATGTGACAGGTTATCTAAGGGCCAGAGGCAAGGGCAGTCAGAGAAGTCACTGAGGTAGAAGCCCAAACACTGGAAGCTGCCTGTTCCAGCTTGTTGAGGCTGCACCTCGAATTATGGTATGGGATTCCAAGGACCCGGCTAGACCCCCCCAAGTGCCATCCCAAAGCATGCCAACCAAATTATTAGATATGAGGCCCCACACAGACTCAGGACAGCCACCAGTTCCAGGGGCTGCCTCAAACTAACAGCTTTGGACAGCTCTAGAGCCCAGCCCAGTCACATCCAGTCACTAAGCCCTGCTGTGAACAGGGTACATCTCTGACTGTCCTATGATGCCCAAGGTGCTGAGAGTTGTGCCATCTGAAGATGCAGAGACCTGGCCAATGCGTCGTTAATACACCTGGCAATGGCTGCTGCTGGCCCAACAGGTTTCTACAAAACTCCTCCTGCTGAAGGAGCCCAGCTCCATGGCCATGAACAGCAGACCCCACTGTAGTGTTTCTCCTTGCATGAGTTCACTACTGACTTCCTTCCTAGAATCAGTCTGTCTCTAGCTTGCAGGGGCTGCCTGATGCTCTCTCTGCTGAAGACAGGAGAGATCGAATCTTGTGTGGAATCTGTTCTTCCTGGAATTAGGGATGAGTCTGTAGGACAGGTGTGGCCTTCCTAATACACCTGTCTTATGAGATTAAATGGGTAAGATTGCACTACAGAAACATTTAAAAAGGGTGTAAGTTATTTGAGGAGAGGAAGATACCTAATCTTCCCCCAACCTCTGGAACACTCCCACAGTGACCAAGGGTGGCTGCAAATAGCAGCCCTAGGGAGCCTCCTGAGGCTGCCAGGTGTTTTCAGATGCCCACTGCTGCTGAAGTCACTGGTGGCTTGCTTTCTCAAATTCTGAGGTTATGCTCATCAGGACCCTATAGTTGTTACTGAATATTTACTCTTAGGAGTTCAAGTATGGACTTCATGAAGTAGAAATAGGAAGGGTAAATCAGTCATAAGAACTATACTGCAATAGGGAGCACAGCACTACAAGAGAGAGCAGGGGTGACTGCTGGAGCCACAGCAGCCATCTGGGCTTGCATGAGGGCCTGGCCTTAAAGACAGAGGCAGACTAGGCTATTCCTTCAAAGAAGACATAGGCATAAACTGCCACAAACTCCAGCCAGTTTATCTCTCGTTATTTCCTCTAGTTTGGTGAGGCTGCAACACACATGCTCACAATTTTTATGCCATGGATGAAAGCCAAGAGAATCTCACAATTTCTTAAGAAATTATCTCATCCCACACCAATTCCCAAGCTCCATAGAAGACTTGTTTAACTATATTTGGATATCCAACAAGGAAAGCCATCACTTTGTTACTTGTAAGGAACGACAGAAAACGTGTTTTCTTGCTCTTGGTGGAGCTGATAATTTTCAAAACCTGTCTTTTAAACATTATTATACTTCTCTTGTCACATGTTGGACCATCACTAAAATGCTAGTGAGGGGGCAATATGTGTAGAGAGACTAAACATCACTCACCCATGACTAGGTGCCAAGCAAACAGTGTTGGCATGCTCAGGCCTCTGGCCCCTCTAGCAGAGGTTTTCTTCACACCACCAGTGAGAACAAACCTACAGACCCTTCTCTGCAGGCTGAACCCAGGGCATCTGGAGCAATGGTGTGTATACTGTGTCCACAGGGCTCCCCATGAGAATGTAGGACACAGCAAATAAAACCCACATTTACACAAAGAATAAAGAGTGAGGTTAGTTTATACTTCTAGTTTGGACATTTATGTTAGCACTAAGAAATCAAAGTGGATAAACTAGAGATCCTTAAGGTGTAAGGTACAGTGCCGCCACCTGTAAACACTTGGGCGCCAGTGGCAAGACCACAAACCCAAGACCAGCCACTCCATAAGACCTTGTCTCAGAAAACAAACACACCCAAGTCCTCTTCTGGAGTAGGCCAAAGACTATCGAGGTTTGAAGGACAGCATACAACACTGTCTGGCTCCCTTATTGCCTCACTCTCCATTCCAGTACCATCTTCTGGGGTATGGACGTGGTCATCTGGCTGGCACTGGCCTTTCTGACGTGTTTAGGTGTCTTCTGTTTCTATTAGTTCATGAGCACCGTTGTATCCAAATCCGTTTTATATCCCTCAGACTTCCTAGCTTGGTTTAGTAGCTGACTCCAAGACTCTGGAAGGAGCTAGACTGGAAGGTGGCTACACAGGCCTAGCTCCATGCAACAGCAATGGACACTGCTACCCAAATTCTTTCTGGACTATCTCCACATGACATGCTCCCGAGACCTTTTCACACCCAGGCTAGTACTGGCCTGTGGCCCATATTCAGCTTAGAACAGATGAATTGTGTTCAAATGATATCATGTTGTTTAGTTCAGATCTTTCTCTGTGTTGATAGAAGTCCCTAGCACTGCTTTGGTAGCTGCTGCCACCACTGGGGACTGACAGACATCTTAATGGGCCCGTGAAAAAATGGTTCCGATAAAAAACATGAGCAAGCTTGTACAAAGTGTAGGGTCTTTTAAACCAGAACACACATAATTGCTTAAAGATGGGCTTCTTCCTTTAAGCATATATAAACAGTAAACAAAATGAAACTACAGAAAGTGGGGCTTTGTGCCACCATTTGCCAACTTGCCTACCAAGTGTCCCCAGAGCCCCTAGCATTGCTGGCAGAAGCCTGGATGGCTGTCCTGCCACTCTGACTCCACTACATGCATGCCTGCCGGGTGGTAGCCCCCTGACCCAGGCCAGGAGCACACTGGGAAACACTGACCTCCCATCATCATGAGGACTCAGCATTGATGCTGACCCTCACCACCTGAGCCATCGGGCCAAAGAGACCGCCACCTGTGGGGACTCTCCTCGGGAAGACACGGATAGCCCCATAACCCACTGTTCCTATTTCCCTTTTCCACGAGCACCCACAAACATGTCGAGGTAGAACTTAAGCCACCACAGGCTTGTTCATAATACACACCCTCTGCCTCAACGGTGGCCCACTCTCAGAACCGAAGGGCCATAAGAGCCTGTCACTGTCAACATCAGGACCCAGGCCAAACACCCTGCCAGGGCTGCATTAGCATCTAATAGAACCCAAGCCTGCCCCTCCACCTATCCAATTCCCCTTCCTGGTTCATAAAGGGCCAAGAGAAGGTGACTGGGGAGCCTTGATGCTCAGAAAACTTCATTTCAGTCACATACCACAATTCCCACCACATTACAGTTCAGAATTCCAGTGTCCTGTACTTAACCAGAAGTTCAGACAAGACACAAAAATACAGAAGGCATTTGTGGTTTTGTTTTTGAATTTGCAAGAAGTAATTGATCTGATCGTTGCCTGAAGCAAAGGTAGGCCTAACCTGGCAAAAGGATGCCCATTTAGGACACATAACCACACTTAAGGGTAGGCCCGTGACCAGTATGGCTAACACAAAAACTCAGTATTATTTCTGTAAACTTTTTGTCTTATATTGCTTTGTTTGTGCATTTTGCTTACATATTATAGTTTCTGATTTTTACAGGTTTTGTTTTTGTGTATGTAATCTGTTTTTCTTGAGCTTTTATTGGTCTTTTTAAAATTTTGGTTTATTTGCCTGTGTTTTCTATTGGGTAGGTAGGGAGAGAGGAGGAGTTGGGGAGGAAAAACTGATCAGAATCTATTGTATAAAAAATTATTTTTCAATAACTGAAAAAAAAATGTATTGTTAAAAAGTGGGGGCTGGAGAGATAGCTCATTGGGTAAGAGCACTTGCTGCTCTTGTACAAGACTTGGGTTTGGTTCCCAGAACCCTCATGTTGACTCAACACCTGTAACTCCAGTTGGGGGGAGGGGTGTCAGATGCCCTCTTCTGGGCTCTTGGGGAATGCACACAGGTGGTGCACATACATGTACGTTAAAAAAAAAAAAACATATATGTAAAGAAATCTAAAAAATAAAAGGTATTTTAAAATCTCACGGCAAGCCTTGGCAATAGTAGCAAACTGCCATATATATATAAATCGCTGGGTGGTTGTGGCACACACTTTTAATCCCAGCACCTTGGGATGGGTCAGAGGCAGGAGGATCTCTGTGAATTCGAGGCCAGCCTGGTCTACAAAGTGAGTTTCAGGACAGCCGGGGCTATGCAGAGAAACCCTGTCTGAAAACAAACAAACAAAACCTCCATTTGAGTGGGTGATGTGTCCTCCATATCGGGAAGGGCTTTTGTTTAATGCTGGGGGCAGGTGAACCACAGCTGAGTCATCAAATTTTCTGATGCCTGGTCTGTAGACACGAACACTGCTCATTACTTATGGGATAGGGCGGTCAGGAATCTGATTCCCAAGTGAGACTCAAGCAGTGCTAGGCCTTGTCCTCATTTCCCCATTCCAGGTGAAAATGCTCAGGGGAGGTACCACATCTTTCTTGGATGGAGGATGCTACTGACTACAGACATCCACCATGTGTGGGCCAGGTGTACCAAACAGCCCCAGAGAAGCCAAATACTCACACAGCCTTCAGCAGAACTGTCTGGACTTCCAACCCTGAGAAGTAGCCTCGGAGGGAGGGAGCCAGCGCATCTGAAAAGACAGGAAGAGCAATGAACTGGGGTCCCACCTCATTCTGGGTCTTCAGACCTCCTCACACTGGTCAGGGTGGGATTTCTTGCCCAGGGCTGAGAAACACCACAGCAGCATCTGGAGAGACTTCCCTCATGTCCTGTGAACACACCAGCAAAACTCACAGGGCAGCACCCACCTCAGCTGGTGCTGGGGTCCCGCCAACTGCCCTTCCTTTTCAGGGGTAACAGGCATTAAGATGCCCAGGATGACCCTGTCTGTGGATTCTTCCCTTCCATATCCCCTAGAAATCCAAGCTGAGGAGAGCTGCCTAATGGCTTCCTAAGCTAACGAGACAAGGGAGGGATGCTTCATGACTCCTCCGGAGACTGGCCTCCCTGGAACTGAACTTTCTTGAGAGCCTGTTCTCTCAGGACAAGGGTCGGCTCCCTGGCGCAGTGGAATAGAAGACCAGGCTGTGCTCACAGTGCCCCAGAGGTACCTGGAGCGCTGTCTTTCAGAGACAACCTAACACAACCAGGCTGAAGGATGCCTTCTCTACCCAGCAGAATGCTCTGGGTCCCATGTCAAGCAAAATGTGCTTTGCATCCTTAAAGCCCCCCACACTGACAATGCCACTTTGTCTATAACCTGCCGGGCAGTGGGAATGCCTGTTTACCGCTGTTCCCACACATTTCTGCTTTTCTGAGACTGGGTCTCACATAGCCCAGGCTAGCCTCTAATTCACTATGAAACCAAGATTAGCCTTGAGGGGCTGGAGAAATGGCTCAGTGGTTAAGAACACTGGTTGCTCACAACCATCTGTAATGAGATCTGATGCCCTCTTCTGGCCTTGAATTCCAGATCCTCTGACATCAACTTTGGAGAGCAGGGCTTACTTTACTTGCTTCTCTTTTATTAGGGAAGAGGGATGGCCTCCTACTGCATACAATGAGCAACACAGAAGGTGCTGCCAGGATCAGAGGGGGAGTGCAAGTGACAGCAAAGAGGGGGAGCCTGGGAAATAAGGGCAGGACCTGCACACATGGCAGATTTACTCAGGCTCAAGCATCAAGATGTAGCAGGAAACATTTTGGCTGGGGTGGAGGTACAATGTGGCCAGAAGGAAATTACAGATGACCCTAGGAGGTCTCTGGGGACTCGTGGATTCAGGGAAGCCCGCCCCTTCCTCTCTTTCACAATGGTGGGATGCAACCTGTCCCAGTGTCCAGCTCAGAATGCAGATCCAGGCTCTGCTGTTTCCTGCTAGCCTGACTCTAAGGTCCGAGAAGCCAGGGAATCAGGTTAGGTCTTACACTTTTGTCCTGGTCCCCAAGCAGTCCTCAGGGTTTTCAACTCAAGGACCTCTGATACTAGCCATGTCCCCAGGCTGTCAGTATAAGACACGGGGACCACACTAGGGAACTCCACCTACTAGGACAACTTGGGGTAGAGAATTCTGCTCTGACTTGGGACATATGTGGCTCCAACAAAACAGAACAAAACCCTAAGGGTGAATTGTAAGCTTCTGGTCCATCAGCATCTACCTCAAGGCAGCCCCTGGGATATCTCGTATATGCGGTGTCCCCTGGGGACCATGCCAGATGTTATTTCCAGAAAGCAGGGACCAGCTGGCCAGAGGCTCAAAAACCATGGGGTTAAAGCCACATTGCCTGAGAGTCCCCAGAGCCCCCAAAGGCCCTGGAAAACAGGTCAGCATCTTTCCCATCACTCGTGGCAGGAAGGGTTGAGGGATCAGAAACTTGTCCTTGAAGACAGACTAAACACCCACACTTGAGGGTCTGTAGGGCAAAAGGAGCGAACAAGATTACAAGGAGAAAATGTGGAAGGGGATGGGGGGATGGAGGCTAGAGACAGGAGCAGAGGGAGGGAAGAGCTGGAGACCGAAGAAACCAGTACCTACCTACCTACCTTGGCTCACGGCTCGTTCATCTGAGTCCATTTGTTCTCTAAGCAGAGAGCAAAGTTGGAGCTGCCTTCCCGAGTCAGCTGGGAAAGGGCAGCCTAGGGGCCAGGGCCCTCAGCAGGGGATGCTGGGAACCTAAACCTAAAATGGTCCATGTGCACTGGGTCAGTGTAGAGCGGTAGTGGCAGTTGTGAGGCCTGGGTGTGAAGTGGGGATGTACAGCCCTGAGGCCAACATGGGATGGTGTTCACTGAGGGGACAGTGAGCTACAGGGTAGATGGCATGGATCTGGGACTGGTGAAGGTGATTGTGAAAAAGAGGCCTCCTTGCTGTCTGCCAATCTAGCCTCCCTGGCTACCTCTTGTTCCAGTGCTTCCCCTCCACACGAGACACGAGTGCACACACAAGCACTCATGCATGCATACGCACGCGCACATACACACACACACACACACACACTCTCCCTCGATCACACTGTAGCAGATTGAGAAAGATGGACTCCCAAGCTTATCCCTTGGGATTGTGGCTGGGACCCTGCACTGTGCTTTTGTAAGACACAGTGGTTCTTGCTACATTCCATTTACCTGCGGCACCACCTTCCAGTAGGGGGCAGCACCCAACAGGGCAAACTGTTTTTGCACCAGAGGGGCAGAGTTGGAGGGGCACAGCCAGGAGTGTGGGCAGCTGGCCCAGGAGAACAAGGTGTTTCGTGCTAATCACTACTATTTGGAGGATAGCAAGGAGAAAGTTAACCTTTACCCCATAAGGGCTGTTTGTTCTGTGGTCACTCCTGTCCAAGCCCTGGAGGCTGCTTCTGACTCCTAATTAACACTGTGGGGGACCACAGGCCTCCCAGACTTTCTCAAAGTCACCTCTTCAGGAATCTACACATTGTAACCATGGAAGAGCAGGTCTCAAGGCTCATCCTGGCCTTTTCTGCACTGCAGAAGCATGTGCACACCCACACACAAGCTTGCACACCATTCCAGGGGGTTGAGGTCCCCATGAGAACTTCTAACATAATATTTAACTAACATTAACCCTGGTTTACTCTGTGCCTGACAGAGATAAGTGTCAAGCGTATCACTGACTGAAATTTCTCCAAATAATGTTTTGTTTTTTTTTTTTGTTTGTTTTTTGAGGCAGGGAGGATTTTGAGACAGGGTTTCTCTGTGGCTTTGGAGGCTGTCCTGGAACTAACTCTTGTAGACCAGGCTGGTCTCGAACTCATAGAGATCCGCCTGCCTCTGCCTCCCGAGTGCTGGGATTAAAGGCGTGTGCTACCAATGCCCGGCTAAATAATGTTTTTTAAGGGGGCAATTCATTGCCCTGGGGCCACACTGTATGGATCCCACCAGTCTTTAAACCATATATGAATGGCAACATTGTTGGGAAGTGGTGACAGGCTAGATGGAGTAGCAGATATCTGGGACGTAAACTAGAGAAAAAAAGCAAATAGCATGCTGGAGATAGTAAATACCCACAAGACACAGAACTGAAGCCTGACACTTCAACACTACACAGAATTTGTTTCCAGGTGCCAAGGACAGAAAGGCCTGCCTCTGTCTCCAGGGTGGCAACCCCTGCAGACTGAGCAGCACAGGGCCGGGCTAACTACCATTTGCTCTGACTCTCCCCTCTCTAGAGTCCCACTCTCACTGTCCCCTCAGATTCACGAGGAAGGCTTCCCAGGCATAGGGAGCACTACAGCTACTGGATATCCTTTGGTGGCTTTTTTCTCTGCTGACCACAGGGACGGGTCTAGACCTGCAGTTCCTGGGCCACCAGGCTCACCTCAGCGTTTTAGAAATGCAGCTACACTAGGGCCCAAGTCATTTACAACCAACAGACCCCATGATGTGTAAGTTTGTGAGGAAGGACGGCCTGGCAGAGTTGGTTTGTTCTTTCTACCAAATGGTGGGAGCGGGGGACTGAACTCAGGTCATCCGGCCTGGTAGCAAGTGCCTTTACCTGCTGAGCCATCTCATTTGCATTTTAAAACACCCTCTGGCATGCCTGCATGCTCAGATGGGAGGGCCTGCTCTTGACTTAATTTCTAGAAGCATGACTGGAACAGTCTAGAAAGGCTATGCAGCACTAAGTTTGAGAGCAACACTCTGTCCTTGGGCAGATTCAATGTAAACAGTGCACAAAAAGCTCTGCTATGATATGGGACTCACTCCCTGGGCTTCCCAAGGTCACCTGGCCATAGAATCTTTGGCTCTGTGCCAGCTATTAATAGCCATGGAGGTAAGGAATGCCAGTGTGGATGGACCGCTGACAGTGGTTATGAGGTGATTGTAGGTGGTCAAGGAGCATTCAATGTGGCACCCAAACTTCTAGCTCTTAATGAAAGTAATGTTCATTTGAAGATGACCACACCAGTGACATCCTGGTCTAGTCACCATGGAACAGACCCCAAAGCAAACCTATCCCCTTTGAGCCTAACAGTTAAGACAGCACTTCAAAAACAGATTTTCAGGGCTGGTAAGTGGCTCAGTGGCTAAAGATGCTGCACAGACTGCTCACCTGAGTTTGATTCCTAGGACCTGAGAATTGTGTGACTTGTCTACAGGGTAAGTCTATCATCTTATTCATCCCAGCATCTGGAGAAGGAACCAACTAAGAACATCTCAACTAGCACTAGAGATGGGGAGGCTGCTGCAAGTTTGAAGCCAGCTTCAACTACATGGCAAATACTATCTCAAAATACCAGAAAGTCCCAGATGAGCAGACTGGTAACTAAGGTCCCTAGGATCACGAACACATCCTTAAAGACCAACCACACTGGGCATCAAGCACAAGCGCTTGGGGCTAACTCTCCATCCTGGGCCTCAATCCTTCCTGGCTGTTGTGAACCTAAGTTAGGCTCCTGTTTCCAGACAGGCGTGTGAAATGCACTCTGATGTCTCCAAGTTCACTGAGACGCCGTTCTGCTCGAGGGCGCCTGAGCGTGTAACACCCTGCGTCAGATGCGGTCCACAGTGGCTGCTCGCCATCCGTATTTAATCTTGTCAGCCTGTTAATTTTTAACTATGTTTGCTACCAGGGGCCATTAGAGGTCCCTGGGAGCTGAGCTCAGTGAGGCAGGCAG